TTAATGGGACAAACTTGATGGAAAGACAAAATGTTGTTTTTTCTTTCAGTACTAAATCTTGCTTATGTGCTTGATCCAAATACCACACAAATTCCTAATGTTGTTGAAGATGAAATCAATAAAGAAAAGGAAAGAATTGTCCAATTGAAGAAAAAGCATGATGATGACACTTTTGCATGTGAAGGGCACGTTCTCAACACCTTGTCAGATAGACTTTATGATCTTTACATGTCAATTCAATCGCCATTAGAGATTTAGAAGTCTTTAGAAGAAAAATACAATAATGAATGATAAGGTACAGATAGATTTATCATGTTGAAGTACTTTAAATTTAGTATGGTTGATAATATGCCTATCATGGATCAAGTTCATGAGTTACAAATTCTTATAAGTAGACTTAGTGATCTACAAGTAATAGTTCCTGAATCATTACAAGTTGGAGCAATTATTTTAGAATTGCCTTCATCTTGAAATGATTATAGGAAGAAACTCCTACATCTTGGAGAAGACTTCTTTGTTGAAAAATTACTAAGACATTTATGTATAGAAGAGGAAACTCGAAAGCGTGATGTTGTGTATCTTTCTCAAAGTTCTAAAGTGAATCATGTTGGAGAAGTAAATGCCAATAAAGGAAAAAGAAACAAATCCTTTATGGATGCTAAGCAAGATAAAAAGAGACAAAGAGAATGTTACTATTGCTACAAGAAAGGGCATTATATCAATGATTGTTAACTTATAAAAAAGGATAATAACTCAAAAGAAGCATTTAGGTCTAAGGCCAACCTTGTGGAAGAAAAAGACTTAGTTGCTATGACTATTGAAGGAGTTCAATGCATACACAATGGTATGATCACAAAACTAAACATAGCAACATATGAAAAATCCCATAAGTAGTGGTTAGATTCTGGTGCTACTGTTCATGTTTGCAATGATCGCAATCAATTCAAGACATATGAAGAAATGAACAACCGAGAAGTGCTAATAGGAAATGACAATTTGGTCAAAGTGTGTGGTCAAGGAATAGTAGAGTTGAACTTTACATCGAAAAAGAAGTTAAACTTGGTGAATGTACTTCATGTTCCAGATATAAAGAAGAACTTAGTCTCTGTTAGTCTTTTGTGTAAGAGAGGATTCAAAATTGTGATGGAATTTGATAAGATTATCTTACTTAAGAATGATATGTATGTAGGAAAATAATATTATACTCAAGGCAAGTTCAAATTTAGTATTGATAATAAAGTGAATGATTTTATGTATATTGTTGATTCTTGTGATATATGACATAATAGACTAGCACATTTAAATTATAAATCAATTGAATACATACAAAAACATAATTATATTAATCTTAGTAATAAAGATTTTACCATCTGGGATAATAGATATTGAGTTTCAAATTTTACAATTACAATAAATAAATAAATAAATACATAATTTTATCACACTTAATTTATTTTTGTAATTCTTTATATAAAACAATAAATTCATTATTTTTATTCAATAATAATTTTGTTTCTTAATCATAAAGTTTATTTTAAATATGTAATATTTTAAATAAATTTGATGAAATACTTAATATATTTTATTACTGTTTTTTTATGATTATAATATTTTAAATCTATTTATAATTATTATATATTTTTTTCATATTTTATCTATTCTATAATATAATTATATATGATGTTTTTTTATTAATAATTTTAATAAAAATATTCTATTTGCTCTTTTTCAAAAATTAAATATTATTTTTACTATGTCTAATATTATTTATTTCATAATTTTTTTTATTTCTTAATCTGCAATCATAATATAAAATTTATTATTTCTCCTACATTAATTATTTATTATTTTCATTGCATTCTATATATACTTTTTCATTACCATGTTTTTTATATTTTTTTCTGAACCATAAATTTATATATAATTTTCTTTCCTGTTAATTTATCAATTTATTACAATAACAATTTATCTTATTATTTAATAATTAATAAATATAATTTAGTTACTATAATTTTAATTTAATACATTTTTAAACAAACAAATTATAAATAATAAAAATTATATTATATAATTTCTAATAAAATTTATCTAAAATTTTAATTGTTACAAATACACAAATTAATATAATAAATATTTAAAAATAAAAAATTTGTACACCTTCACAGCCTGGGTTTCATTTGGATTTGGACCCTCTTCTTCACAGCTGTTCACCCCCCACAAATCTTTCACCTGCACCATCATCTCAAAGTTACATGCATGTAATCCAAATAAATATCACATTTAAAAATAAAATATATTCACATTATTGTTATTCTTATCTTTTATAATGTATTTTTCCACAAAAACTGAATATGAATGCCAACAAATTTTAACGGTATGCTGTTTTTTTTCCCATCAATTTACAAAATGTGCAATGCCCAAGAAGAAAAACAGAGAAGAAGGAAGGAGAAAGAGAAATTGCGTCCCTAAACAGTCAAATGCAATTGCCATGTGCACCAATCACATTATTGTTGTCCCTAACCCAGCCGATACTGGAATAGGCTTTGATCCAATCGACTCTCTAAGATTCAGACATGTGTCTTCTTTCTTTCCTAGCTGTTGATTAGTTTGAATCATTTAATTTTTTTTTTTCGATTTTGCCAACCACATGTGTCTCAAATATAAAAGTGTCGTCTATTAATTGGACAATTTTGATTTTTAGTGTCATTCTTCCTCTCGACGACTCTTGTGCTGTCTGACATTCCCTACTCTTGACTGTGAATTTGTTTCACTAAAACCCTATTTTGGTAATTTTTTTTTAAAATTTACCACAATAAGTTAAAAAAAAAACCGTGCTATAATGTCATCAACGTTGAAAAGATATTATCTGTATTGGCAGTTAAACACTACGTATACCCATTTTATTGATTGAGAATATGTAAGTGATTTTATTCCCAATGTACATAATAATGCCTTTAAAAACATTTTTTTTAGTTGTTCCTCATATTTATGATGTTCATTGCATCAAGCCTTGAAGAAAGAGTGCTACATTTCATTGAGTTCCCCAAATGATTTTTAGTTTATGAGTGCTTTCCACTCAAAAAAGAACATTCAAACAGAAAACGAGAAAGGGAAGAAATTTTCTCTGAAAAAATGTTAAAGGATGTTTCGATAAGAAACATGTTTGAAAATGTTTAAAATCACTAATTAATATCTTTTGGATGATAAGAATAATGTTATTTCTTTCTAAAAAAAATTAATTTCAAATCTTTTTATTTATTTTGATATGATTTTATAGAAAAGTATTAAATGAAAAAGGAAATATATTTAACATCTTAAAAATAAAAAATATGTATTTTAAAACTAACCATATTTAATTAGTTAAAAGATTAATAGAAGATAATTTAAGTGGATTTATAACTATTTGAATGATAATATCGATTTCGCTATAATGACAGCTTGCATGTTAATATAGCTTGCAAATTGATCTAACCTCGTGATGACTACGGGAGAGAAAACAATCGAATTTAAAGGATTTGATATTTTATGGCCCATTGGACCGAGTCCTATCTCGTCAAGGATTGAAATTTTGATTTTGAATTTGTTATTAACTTTACCATTAACTTATGATAAATACTAATTAATATTTTAAGAATACTAGCTAAAAATTTAAAATTAATTTTTATTAAAAATTATTAATGTGTCTCTTTTCATAAACTCTATTGAAATTGAATTGAAAAAGTGGGCTCCTGTAAGGCTCAAACCACTGTAGAATTGCGTTCATATCAAAATCACCGGTGAATTTGGAGTCATCATGGCGAAGAACGAGGAGAGGATTGGCTTCTTCCTCCAATCAGAGAGAGACAGCACCATGTGAAATTTCAGAGCTCCACACACGTGTAAGGAAATACCACATATCACTGTTAAGCTTCAACTATTTTCATTCCCAATTGCAGTTGATAGTTCATTCAATCTCGATGGACACACTCATTGTTTACAACATTGATTGAACAAGGTAAAAACATCATTTGGCTATTCAAATTTGAACAGGATGAAATCTTCACTATTTCAAATGAATTTTAAATTGTTGAAAAAACAAGAATTCTAATTTTAATACGTCTTTATGGTAACTTTACTTGTCCTTTATCTCATTCTTCTTTTATTTTTATTTTTTTCTTCTATCAAATTACTCTCTGCATGTTTGATTTTAAGTTTAGGAATTATAAGTTTCTATCAATCTTAACGCTACACAATATAACGTGTGTGAAAAGAACATATAGTTACAAGTTCTTAACGTTAGTTTAAACACACTTTATCTGTTATATATCTTCTTCTTTTTTTTCACTTCTCTGTTTTCTTTTCACTTTTCACTAAATATATACACCCAATGAATATATATATATATATATATATATATATATATATATATATACACCAATCAGTTTTCATTTCAAATAAGTCATTACCAATATAAAAAAAAGTGTGCAGATAACGTGTTCTTAAAAAAAAAAAAAGCTGCAAGAAGTAAATCTTACTTATTTAAAATATTTTAATCTTACTTATCACATGTTATAATGTATTTTTATAGCTATAATAATTCTTGAAACACATTAAATTTTTATGTAATTTAATATAATTAAACAAAAGGTTTTGCTTTTCTTAAACTTTCTCTTCATATTTCTTTTACTTCCTTTCTCCCTTTTTATTTAATGGTGGAACTAGGTTAATTTAATTGCAATGATAAAATACAAATAGTTAATATTTATTTATTTATTTACAATTGTTTATATCGATAAAGGTTGTGAAATAAAGATTACCTAAAACAAATAGTATTTCTCTTAAGAAAAATAATATTAGTTAAGATTTCCTTAGTTAGTATTTTAAGAATTATTTTTAATGAATTAATAAATGATAATTTTTCATTAAAAATTATAAGAGAACATTAACAATATTTTATTACAAATTATTATTTTTGACTTAATTATTTATTTATATAACTTCGTATACTCTGCGAAACGAACAGAAGAACCAATTGTCGACCACTGGACTAAACCTTGACAGAAAAAATAGAACGAAGTAAGAAATGTTAATTGACAGTTATAAATTCCGACATGGGAACAGAGGTCGTTATTATGAAAATAATCTTTGGTCAGTGTTCAGTGTTCACACATAATATCAATAGTTTGCTGCTAAATAATATTGGCGGCGAAGCCACTGAACCCAAACCTAAATCCGAAGCCATAGCCACTTTGATTTGAACTTAAGAACCAAATTCTTTTGATATCAAACTTTCGCACCTAATTATTTTTCAATTTTCAATTTCCCGTTCCTCCATTCACATCGTAAGTTACTCTTCCTTTTCTAGGGCTTTTTTCTTTCTGTGATCCACTTCTGCATATATACAATGCTTGCAAATTCCAAATAAACAATTATTTTATCAAATTAAAATCATTACTCTTTGTTTCCGCTTGAGAATTTCAGTGCACAAACTCTGTATCAGTATCTCTTGGTTTTAATTGTTGATACTCTTACAGGTCGCGACTCGCGTAGAAGATGTGGTTGTGATTCGTAATTGGAGAAGTGTGGAAACAATGCGGTGGTTTCCGTTGAGTACAAGTTCAAGCTCGGAGAGGGCGAGAGAAAGTGAGAATAATAGTCGTTCTTTGGTGTATCTCAATGTATACGATCTTACTCCTATAAACAATTATCTTTACATGTTTGGTCTTGGAATTTTTCACTCCGGTATACAAGGTTTGTCTGTGTGTTCCTTATGCTTCCTTTGTTGTAATTTTGTTTGTTTATTTACTTTGAACTTGTTTCTGTTATTTTTCTTCTCTCTGCTTATCGCGCGACATCGAGTGATATCACGAAAATTAGTTACAACTTACAAGAGAATTAATTAATTTACAGTTTAGCATTGCTAAATGATGTTATGGCACAATATTTAATAATTGAAAAAAGAGAGGAATGGATAATTCATAACAAAGTTGTTATAGTCTATATATAGATGTTATATAGGAGGGAGTTATTAGTTTGGGTCCTTAATTTGAACACTGCAATTGATAAGAATCTTGAGTGAACCGGACTACAAAAGAGCTTAAAGCTTTATAAACCCCACATTAGAATCACGTACTTCCAATGTGGAACTTAAATCCCACACCTTGCAATTGGATCCTAACACTAATGGTGTAATAGATATTTTGACAATGAAATGCAAGCACTCTGCTGAGTGTTGATGTATGTACCATTTTTGGTCATGTAAGCAAGGTAAAAGCTAAAAGCTTATGACATTTGGATGTGTTTAGATAACAACTTAGTTAAGCGCTTATTCAATATTCTCTTGTTGTATAAGGGGTTTTACACCATAACTTTGATCATGAAACTTATTGGTATAAGCTAAAAAATAATTTATTTTGGTAAGTTATATGAAGAAGCTTATTAAAATAAAATGAAAAGAGGACAACACTAAGTGACCTGTACCTTCCCTTTATTTTGAGGTTTTCTGCTCGTGTTATATTATTACAGTTATCTAGAGGCTCGTTACAGCTGTTCATAACTAAAACGTGCTCTCTGGATACAGTGATTATGAATTCTATTTTGAATCTAGTGACTAAGCTGGATAGAACTATCTCCCTAGAATATTGCTAAGGCGCTTAGATGTACTGTTATGTTGTTAATGCACCAACTTATAGCTTATTGTTTTCATGAACAGTGCATGGTGTGGAATATGGCTTTGGAGCACATGAATACCCAAGTAGTGGTGTGTTTGAGGTGGAACCTAGAAGCTGCCCTGGCTTCATCTTCAGACGATCGGTGTTGGTGGGAAGCACTAATATGTCTAACTCAGAATTTCAATCTTTCATAGAGTGCCTCTCTACAAAGTATCATGGAGACACTTATCATCTGATTGCAAAAAACTGCAACCATTTTACAGATGAAGTTTGCCAGCAACTAACAGGAAATCCTATCCCTGGATGGGTAAATCGGATGGCTCGTGTAGGTGAGAATCTTTCTGTTTGCTTATTCTTGTTGTGTAAAAGTCATAATTTGGTTATTTTTAATGCTCATATGTAACATACATAGTACCACCTTCCATTCTGTTTTTGTTTTAATAAGATGCGGCCCCTGCTTGCACCAAATGCGAATTTCATATTACAATGGAAATAAATTGTATATGGGTTTGATGGGGCAAGTGATTCAAGCATGCTTATGGGCTTCGTTTTGTGAATCTGGTGACTACACATACTAATTTTGTTATCGTCTGATCATGTGTGGTTTGATCTTTTAGGTTCTTTCTGCAATTGTCTTCTGCCAGAAAGCCTTCAGGTTGCTGCAGTTAGACATCTCCCTGAACGTCTTACATTTGCTGGTAAGATTCACAGAGTATAATGTTGGTCAAATTGGTTCACAGTCAATGTTTCCTTTCAGATTGTTTTTATTGTTTGTCCAACAAAGAAAATATTTATAATGGATGGCACATAGAATATATAATATAAACCAATATCTTTTTTATACATGTTATATAACGACCATTTTAATATTTTCGGAGTAAAGTTAAATAAAAATACTCTCCATTGTGTAAACAGAAGTAAACAGGGCTTATTTCTTCCCTTGTGAAAATCATTGATGGACATTTGGACACGTCTGATATTTTGAAGCACTTTGGTTAATTATTGAACTATTTACGTTTTAATTCTTACAATGTCTGAAATAGCTATTCAGCACTACTTGTCGCGAAGTTTTTTAAGACATAAATTTTGTCTTTGCATAGTTCATTGGATCATAGAATAATGCTATCTTGTGTCTGTTCCCATCCTTGATATTACCAAAACCAAGAGAAGATCTAAATTTCAGTCATTGCAGATGATGATGGATCAGGATCCGATGTCCTTTCTGCATCTGTTGAGAGTGAAGAGGATGAGCCCAATCACCATTTGCTAACTGCACCAAATGGTGATGTTGCCTTTCTAAAGGAAAAACCAGTTAGGTTGGCGCGGGAGCACTTATGATTTTAATTGGTTTATCTTGTGTTTTTTATTCTTTCTTTGTTCTCTTGCTTGTACCCTATGTATGATCTTAGCTTTGAATGCAACAAGTCTCTCAAGTAGAATATTTAAGACTCAAAATGCATGCATTGTAGAACAAAGACGATAATCTGCTGTATATGTCCTGTACGTGTCAAAATGGACTGGTTCTCCGATAGAAGCTATTAGAAATACAAACACAAAATCTTCAGTATACTTGAAATCTGATTGAGTGATTCCTTTGCCGAAGTCCATTAGTTTCAAGAAAAGTTTTCTGTTTCGTTTTTATTAAAAATTTGTTTCTTTATTATTTCTTGTACAAATATTTAAAAATAGGAAAGTATAATAAAAATTAGATGATATTTTTGTATTTATAAATACAAATATTTTTTTGAAATCAGACGGCCTTACTTTTCTCCCCTCATGTTGCACCACTAACTGCTAAATGCCAACAATGTTGAAGTGACGGACAAAATGACAAATTCATGTAAATCTTGTATTTGCTCTTTTCATGAAAATTAAATATTATCAGCTGCGATTTGATCTTGAATCAGTTGCAAAGTGTCACGCAAAGGTGGACGCTCTAGTTTTCTTTAGTGCCGGCATCTTTCGCAAAGACAGACTCTTTCTAAGTACGTAAAAATGGGACAACTCATTTGTGAGAAACGTCATTATGACTCAAGATGAAAGACCTGTTTATTTGCAGATTGTATTGTGCTCAAAACGATCAGAGCTATTTTGTGTTCATTATAGATGACGAGTAGGTGGAATTCAACGACCTTGGATTGTTAACGTGCTTTTACGTCTTCCAGGGAAGTAAAACAGCCCCACGGATGATGCCCTATATTCTTACCATCTTTTTCTTTCATTTCTAATTTGTATACTGTTTTTTTGGGATATTATTATCTTCAGCTGATTAGTAACTCAATTCCTATCTCCTTTAGTACAAGATTTCAATTTTTGCTAAAATACACTAATAAGTCTGAAACCGTTGCCAAAAGAGAACTACTCCAAGTCAAGCAAATAAGCCAGATAAATTTAGTTAGGACAGTGAAAGATGAATGGGGGACAAAGCCCTTGCTGCAAGGCACCGAATAGGTCAACGTTGAAGTTAAGACTTTAGACTAGCCCTTGGTGTGACTTTTGAAATGTTTATTCTAGTCTTCCTTTATTAATCGATTATTCTGCCTCCACTTGTTTGCATGAGAGAAAGAAAATATGTTATAAGTATATAGATATGTTTATTTGGTTAAAAAAAATATATTTTTATGACTTATATGATTTTGATGCTTAAAAAATTCAAGATTTTCTCATTTAGTTTATTTTTTAATTTCTAAATTATTTTTCATTTTTATTTAATCCCTCTGTCGGTTATTTGGTAACTTCTTTTATTATTTGTTTACATAACATGAGTGAATATATATTATTAATAATATTATATTTTTGTTTTTCAAATAAAATTATTATTTTTAAAATTGAAATTTAAGAAACACAAAGTACAGTACAGGTATTACATCATCATTCACATCAATTCTAAAAAATAAGTAACGACTCCGTATTGCGAAAAAAAAAAAGAGAGAAAATAAGATATCAAATTAAAAAAATGAAAATTTTGGAAATCAAAAACTTCTTTAAGTTAATTTTTATAAACAAAATTTCCAAAATTTATTTTTATTTTTATTTTTCTATTTTAAATTTTAAAAAGTTGCCTCCTCCTTTGTATTCTTTCCTTAGAACCAAACAGGGGGCAAGTCTACGACTGCTTTATAACCCGAAGCTTGTTGAAGACTTCGAGAAAGCAAGTCTTTTAATTCTTTTTGCAAAATTCTTCTAAGCGGCCAAAGCTTCTTCACGTAAGCAAGATTTATTGTTTATTATTGGTCTATGTCCCACCAAATACCAATTAATGACTTGGAAAAAAAAAAAAAAAAAACTCCTCTTATATTCTTTTGTTCTGGTAGACTTGACCTTGCATCCTCTGCATTCCCAAGTGATGGCTTCATTCGCCTTTCTCTTCCCCTTCCTATTCTGTGTTTTCAGCTTCCAAAGTTCTGTTACCAATGCAATCTGCCATATATCAAAGTGTGGAGACACTGGTCCTGACATCCTCTATCCATTTCACACAAAAGGTCAGAGACAAGACTATGATACCCTTCCTAGTTTTGAGCTTCTTTGTAAAAACAATGTCACCACTATCCAGTTTCCATCATATGGGAACTTGGTAGTGAAGTCCATTTCTTATGACACCAAAAAGATTGATCTTTTTGACCCCAAGAATTGTACCCATCTTGTCTTTATGAACCTCAACCTCTCCCTTACACCGTTCCACTACTTTAATGTTCTAAAAAATTACACATACCTCAATTGCTCTACCTCCCTTCCACCTCCTTTTGTGGAGGTACCATGTTTAAGTGCTTCAAGTTATCATGTTTACACGGTTGACCCTTCACTACCTGTGCCGGGTTCATGTAAGAGACTCAAAACCGTTGGCATTCCTTTTGCATATAGCCCTTATCTCTCAGACAACAGTCTTGGTCTTGGATTAACATGGGACTTGCGTGAATCTCAAGACATCCAATCAGGAAACCAGACAAGAGATTCCCACATAGCACGTAACGCAGGTAAATAATTTAAGGACTACTTTGGTAAACAGAACAGGAAAAGAAAAAGATACAACATTAGAATTTGATTATCTTGTTTTATAATTATTGCACACAAAAGTAATAGATTAAATATCTTGTTTGATTCTAAGTCATATTTCATTTCATTGGATAAAATCAGATAAGAAAAGATGTTATATCATGTGCACCAAAATACCTTAATTTCTTTTTCTGCTTTGGCCTTGTTGGAGTTTTGGATTGGACCCTTCAACATCGGATGGGTAATTTCGACATTAAAAGTTCTGTAGATTATATTAGTAATTTTCTTTCATAATTATTTTAAGAAAAATGTTAGCGTGAATCTTAAGCAGGGCTTTAAGATATATTTTTTTTATAAAAAATATTTATTACATGTTTATGTTCTTGACTAATAAATATACTTTTTTATAATTTCAGTTTTTAACTTCTCTAACAATGTTTTAATATGCTCGCAGTTATAGGGTTCAGCATCTGGGTTTTCGTGGTGGCAATGATTATTATAAGCATAAAGGTCGGTGGGTCCACGAGGAATCGCCAAGATAAAGAAGGAAAGTTATTGCAGAAGCTGGGGGATTTCTAGCTTAGTAATAGACATTTATGAGTTCTGTGATACTTCATTGTTTTGTTCTGAATTAAGAAAAACATATTTGCTCGTTATATATTATTTTTGTTACAAGGCAAAGCTGACAAGTAGTGTTTTTGCACAAGTATAGTATAAAATCTTTTAGTTTTTATTAATCTTTATGATAAAATATTTATTTCATTAGCTTTAATCATCATGAGCTATTTTGGATGAAGTATTTATAAAATAAAAATTTAAGTAATAAAATAAATTAAACCCTTCTTATAAATTTATTTTTTTATTTTTTTAAAAATTCATTTAACTTTTTTAAAACTTGAAGATGTAATTTATTTTAAATATTTATTTAAAATAAATTATAAAATAATAAATAAAAATTAAGTAACAACTTTAATCTCTAAAATTTAAAATATAATTAATCAAAATGTAAATAAATAATAAAATAATTATAACAAAAAATACAATTCACATATTCTTTTTAATTAATTTTAATTTTAAAATGTAAATATAACAAACTGTAAAGTTGGACTCTTTCAACAAATTTCATTTCATGGCGAGTCATGTAAGAAGCTGGCGTATACTTTGGTGTTTTTGGTCATCGTCCATGTGTACTCAAAACTGGGGTAATAGGCCTTGTGGGCCGAGTCACCGGCCCTTTTTCGGCACGTGGAAGGGGCTTAAAAGCCCTAAACACAAAAAGAAAAAGGCTTAATTACTTCTTCTATTTTTTTTACACTTTAGTAATTTTTGTTATTATTTTATAAAATTAGTGAACAATTAGCATTTTAAAATAATATTATTTTAATGAATAATTTTTCTTTAGTAGAAAAATAAGTAAGTGAAATAATTAATATAATAAATAAATGATATAATAAAAAGTTAAATAATAACATTTTTATGAAATTTAGAATATCAATTATTTTCTTAATTTTGTTCAAAGCTTTAAATGTTAAAAAAAGAAAAAGAAAGGATTACAGTTTACAAAGAGGAGCAACTCCACGTTATAAAGAACCCTAAAAATTATCACCAAGTACTCGTTTAGATGCAAGTTATTGAAATGTGATTATAAAAAAAATAATATTTGATTGCTTTTAATTATATTATTTTAATTATTATAATAAATTACAATTTTTTCAATAAAAAATATAATTTCTTTTCAAAATAACTTTTAAAAGAAGCTTCTAAATATATATTATGTTACTTTATAAGCGTGCACGAATGGATTTAAAATCTTTCTAAATTGCATAGAATTAAACGTCAAATTTTAAAAATAAATTTTTTTTACTAAACTTTTATTTTGATCCTTGAAATAATTTACATTGAATATTTTAGTCCTTAAAATATTAAAAGTCTCTTCTTGACTCTCATTTCTATCAAGTATTTTAGTTTTTAAATTCGAACATCATTAATAAACATAATATGATATTGTTTTACATAATTAAAGTAGTAAATATTGAAGTTTTCTTTTGTCTCACATAAAGAACCCTAAAATTTTCTCGTAATTCAATTTTTTCAATTTAAAAATTTTATTGTTGTCAAATCAAATAAAATAACTCTGTAGATATTCTTCGTCGCTTGATTTCAACCCTCTATTACTTCTACCTCTTCTATGATGACATACAATATGAAAAGTATGTTATCGATCAATTCTACCTTATTCAAGCCGTTGTTTAACCTTAAGTTCTTGCTATGCAAGTGTTTAAGAGCTTCTCCTTAAATTAATTTTTTGTGTTTTTGACTTTTTATTTTACAATTGTTAAAAATTCCAATTTTAATAGATAATGCAAGCGATTTTCTTTGATGTGCTTGATTTTTCCTAACTTAATGAAAAAATGATTTAATCCAAGAAGCAAGTTGGGATTGGATTTGATGATGAGTTTAGATAACGCTATGTTTTTGTTCTGGTTTGTGTGCTTGATTCACAGATCTTCTTGCTTGTTAGGTCAAATCCCTAGGTTGTCCATTGTTGTTAATGCAGGTTAGTAGGCAAGTTCTTTGAATCTTGTATTAGGCAAAATGATTTGAGAAAAAAATTTAGGATTCTTTGAGAGAAAATAAAAAATTTCTATGCTTGATACTCCATCTATATAAAATGACACAATATTTATTATATCAATCTTCTCACGTATAATTTAACGTGACATATCAATATTTATAACTATTTGTTATAAGTTTAAGAACTAAAACATAGAGCCAACAAAATGGGTCGGCCTGATGGATTGGGCCAAAAAATTCGTTAAATGGACAGGTTTGAGCTATAAAAAATAAGACCCGAAATTACCTTGGGCCATTTTGGCCTGGTCCAAATAAGCTCGGTACCCAATAGAGCTTTACCCAGGTTGGCCTATGCGGGTTCGGGCAACCCGTATATATATATATATATACTGAGATTAAATTATGAGTTTTAAAGGGTTTGGAAGAGAATATATTTTAGTTTCAAAACCCTAAAATATATGTTAATGGAAAAGAGACCTTACTCTTGATGATTCTAAGCTTTCTCAAGAAGTTTCATATTCTTAAATTTTGATATTTAAATCTTTAATGAACGTTTTTAATCTTTGTGAACTTGTTTTATATTTTTGTGGACTTTTTATGTGTATGGACTTTTTGTCGTAAGAAATTTGTTTAATTATGAACTTATTTATATTTTTGTGGACTTATTGTGTGTATAAAAATAAAAAATTGGCTGTTACAAAAATAATAATAATAAAAAAAATTAGTGGCCTTTTACATTTAAAAAAAATCAAATAAATAGTCTAATATAAAAATTGAATAAAAAAAATGAGTGGTCTATTAAGCTCTTACAAAAATAGCTTAAAATGGCCTGTTACAAATACTAAAAACATCAATAAAAACAATAATCCCATAAATATAAAACAAGTTGTTTACGTTTTTATTATTGTTATAAAAACAATAAAAAAAATGACATGTTACAAAAATAAGAAAAAAAATTATTCGAGTTGCCAAGCCGGCCCGTAGCCTGCATAGGGTAAGGCTTAGGCAGTAAGAATATAAGTCCAATTTTACATTGGGCTAATTAATCCCGACCCGTTTGAGCTCGTTACCCGTATCTGTTTTGACAGCTCTACTAAAATATCTAATAAAGATGAAAGTTAGGAACTAATGTAAAATTTTTAATATTTTTTATATTAAAATATTTGTAGGTAAATATCTCAAATGTAATATTAAAGACTTAATGTCTTGCATATGTACAAATTACAATCACAGAATTTACATTGACAAGAGGAAAATAATCTTATATATACACTTTTTGCTTAATGCCTTGAAAAAAAATTGTATGTCTTGTTAAAAAAACACTAGGAATCTATTGTGCTTAATATGTCTTTTAAATATCTATGGTACAGATATGCACACCACTTCTTTTGCACTTAGGAAAAGTTAGCATCTGGAACTCTGGAAAATATTAAAGACAAAAAATAATAAAACACAAAGCTTAATTAATTAAGTTAAATAATAAGCATATGACAGATAGTTAACATGATGAAATAGATTTTGTGATACTAGTTTAGCATATGGAAGGGTCTTACCTTAACTGGGATTATAATTTATCCATGGTGCAAAGCATCCCCAATGAATAAACACACATAATATGCATAGTTATCATTATTTTTTTGTTTTGGACACTGTGGAAGATAAAAACAAATAAACCACCACTAACACATAGAGATATACAGTGTAATTAATATTAACTTGAAAATTAAAAACACATTGTATCATAGTGTTACCTGTACAGTGACTCATCTTGTTTGATGCATTTTTTTCCTAGGGGGTTGCACTTCCCTCTCTGCTCGATGCATGACAAAAGCACTAACAATGGTGCATGAAAGAAGTTAGATACATTTGAACCACTTAACATTAATCATAGTTGTTTGACATAAATGCATGCTTACTGGTGAACTTTTTGGTAACACATGGCAAGCGGACTAAGCTTCGATGTAGTAATTTGATATCGTCCTCAGAGATTTGATGATAATAGTGATTTCCTTTCTTGTTGTATGTAAAAAAATAAAGAATGTGATAAAATATTAATTTGTTCTAAAATATATAAAAGCAACAAATTGAAATTTAGTAGAAAACCTTATGCGAGAAGAGATTGAATTCAAATATATTTTCTAACTTTTTTATCTTCATTGAATAAATATGATTCTAATTCTATTACTTCCACGTTCATTACATAACTTAACCAGATCCCTCAAAATTAAGTCATAAGGTAATTAACCCTACAACATGATTCCTCTATGTTTTAAGACTAATACCTTGCGTTAAGAACAAAACTGGAACATATGTGGCTAACAACTCCAAGTCTATTCCTAGTACAAGTGATTATTAGGTGTGTGATTCAGTTCGAGTTTTCAAAAGTGTTTTCCAACAGAATTCAAAAGCCAAAGATCATAAATCGGGTGATCAAGTTGAATTAAGCATTAAAAATAGAATCACACTCAAGTAAATAAACTGAAAATCATATAAACTCATGAAGTAATTGAGTTAGGAGTTATATTGAATCCAATCCAAAAGAAATTAACCACTCATAGTGAGGGCCATAGCAAGATGCAGAATGAAATTACAATGACAAAAAATGAAGATGCGATCCTCGTTCTGAAGCAATCCTCCCCACGTCTTCCGTTGCTCCGTTTTTCCTTTTCCCCCAAAAAAGTCCCATTTTTTCTCTGATATATTATGCTTTTATTGTCTTTTTCACTTCCTAGACGTTTTTCTTTTATGGGTCTTCAAAACAAGGAAAATTCGAACATATTTTAATTTCATGGCTATAACTATGAATTCACCGTTATAGCTGTAGCTTTGGCTTGCACTAATTCTCTCACGATTGTAGCTACAGATTCACAGCTTTGGCTGTAACTCTCTAGAATCCTCCTTTTGTTGCACACTTTCATGACTGTAGCTGTGGCTTTGGGGCTATAGCCTGAATTTCAGACTTTACCAAATTTTGCACAAAAGAGAGATATTTTAAAAGAAAACAC